GGGGAGGGCTGTGCAACACAGAGAAGACAAGTAGTGATTTTACAGCATCTTACTATGCAGATGGACAGTGACTGTGAATGGGGATGTGGGGGGGAGCCTAGTAAACATAATGTCCTTCATGTAATTGTAGATTAATGATACCAAAATTAAATTAACAAAAAAAAATCCCCCCCCTCCAAAAAAAAAAGAACAAAGAAGAAAACTGGAGGAGCAAAACAGCAGCAGACTCACAGAACCCAAGAATGGACTAACAGTTACCAAAGGGAAAGGGACTGGGGAGGGTGGGTGGGAAGGGAGGGGAGGGATAAGGGCAGAGGTGGAGGGGGAAAGAAAGGGGCCATTATGATTAGCATGTATAATGTAGGGGGGGCACAGGGAGGGCTGTGCAACACAGAGAAGACAAGTAATGATTCTACAGCATCTTACTAAGCTGATGGACAGTGACTGTTATGGGGTATGTGGGGGGGACTTGGTGATGGGGGGAGTCTAGTAAACATAATGTTCCTCATGTAATTGTAGATTAATGGTACCAAAACAAAAACAAAAATATCAGCATTGTACTGCTCAATCTACAACACAAGTTAAAGAGTAATTCATGGGGGAAAAATTTACACATGCATAGAAAGGGTCTGAAAAACCAGAAACCAAGTTTTTAATAACATGTTTAAAACAATTATATAACAAATACGTACTCCTACTTTTATAACAAAAAGGTATTTTCTTCCTCAAACAATGGTGTATTATATAGGCTTATTTAGAAAGCATTTTAAGAAACTTTATCCTATGTATATCTAAGCAGAAGGGTCTACACATAGATTTTTAACATATATAGTCAGAAACTTCAGACAGAGGCTGACGCGCTCAGTTTACTGATCACCTCTTTCTGACTGGGAGGTGGTGATGGGAAAGCTGAAGCTCAAATGCTCTCAAAAGAAACATAATATGGCTGGATCTCTTTTTTTTCTGAAGTAGAAGAGAAAGGAACACTGAAACAGTTAAAAACATATGATTAATACGAAAACAATAAAGAAAAAAACTTTTGCTAAGAAAGTGAAGCATCAGGTAGCAGAGGAAATAGAAATAAACATGCTAAGATGAAGGTCTTATGAGCTATAAATGGAAAAGAAATTATATGACAAATTAAGAAGTTAGGTGGAAGCTCAAATAACTTAAAGCAAGATGTATGGGCAAAATTAAAGCTGAATGAAAAATGAAGCGGTAAAAATTAAGAATTAGTGAGGATGGTACCAAATCATAAATGTTTAGTTTATTTAAAAGGTTGCCCTAGAATATGGCCTAATCTACTGCTTAATGCTTATTAGGATAATTTGATGATTTAAAAATCTAGATTGCAAGTCAACACATTTTGTATTATGTAGTTCAAAAAAGATTCCAGCACCTACCACTATCTCATTGTAGGAAAACTATTTAAGATGGAGACAAAGCTTTAAGCGCACATATTTCCAATTAGAAGATACAAACAGTAGATGTTGTACCTATAAATACAACCAGGTAATACTCAACCTACTAACAGTTTAAAGAAATAGATTCGGAATGGATACACTGAACAACTTTCCTAGAGGAGATTTCATAAGAAACACCAAAAGAATATAGGTCATTGAAAATAATAAATTTGTACTTTATTACTTCACAAGTTTGATCAAATGAAAATTAAAATGATACATACCTATGAAGAACACCAAATATTTATTAAAAAGCTACTAATTGCAAGGTGTTTCTGAAATATTATTTCTTTCATAACAGGCCAAGCTAATTTAGCACACAAACTTCAAATTCATAAGATATCATCAAGTTAAATACAAAGGAATATTTCAGAACTAAACACCATTATAATAATAAAGAG